CAGCCCCCCTGCTCAACCAGGAGACGCCACACCGCGTTTCGGACAAGTGGCTGTCCAGTCTCTTCTTAAAAACCTCCAGTGATGGAGCACCAGCGGAAAAGTTGCCAGCCTGCCAGCCGCTCACAAATATCTCGAGAAACTCCGCTTAGCCAAAGGCGTTTAGATGCCTTCCCACATTTTCTAAACTTTGCTTTTCTAGCCTCTTACTCCACCCGTTTGCCAGTAGCATTCTCGCTCTTTCTCTCTCTCTAGCCAAGGAAAGCGTGGCGCGGCCACGAGATCAGCCGACCGCGACAATATCTAATTGGTCCACCGCCGCCGCCGCCGAGGCTTAAAATACGCATCTCGAAACCACAAATCCAGGAAAGCGCTCTGCAGGAATTTAGCTGGCTCCGGATTGCAACTCGGCTATCGTTGGAGAAGGAGCGCCTCCTAGTGGAAGGACTAGGTACTCGCGTGGGGAGAAGGTTCGTCCCTTATGCCGACACCTGGGCTCACGTCAAGCTACCAATAAATGGAAATATGATGTAACTCAGGGTTGAAAGGAAGGGTCCTTGGTGCTCTCTGAGGTTGGTCGTTTTCTGGCAAACTAGGTGACATCATCAATGCAAGAAGGGAGCAAACCCCATTCCCCTCTTTTCCATTTCATGTATTCATAACCATGTTTATACTTATACCTGTTACCTAATAATTGCTTGACAAAATAAATAAAATAAAATAAATAAAAATAAAAATTTTCAGGAAATTAATTACAATTAAAGACGTTTCGCTTCTCAACCAAGAAGCTTCTTCAGAGCTGGAGAAGCTTCTTGGATGAGAAGCGAAACGTCTTCAAAGCAAACCCAGAAAGTCTAATTGCCTTTTTAAAAAAGCATCATTGGAACAACCATGACCTGGAGGACCGAGAATCTCCATAGACAATTAAAATTAAACTTGCTAGAACTCCTACAACACACAAAACCACAAGCTAGCCAAATATTAAGCATACACACAAGGCAGGGTGTGGGATTGATGCAGACTGTTAGGGAATGGTTTCATAAGGCATGCGAAAGAAAAATTGCATTAATCCATTTTGAGTAAACCATGGTGAGTATCTTTTGTAAATATTCAGGATGCATGAAACCCCATTGTAAGTTTCCCATATCTGCATTACACGCCTGCAAAATTCCTACTTGGCCTGTAGATGGCAGCCCAGAGATCAAACATTCTCACTGCTGCCCTCTAGTGATGATCTGAATGTTTGCAGCAGAGGTGGTATTCAGCAGGTACTGACCAGTTCTGGAGAACCAGAGTAGTTCGGAGACCCAGCAAATCCCATCTCTGACTGGCCCAGCCCCCATCTATTCTCTGCCTCCTGAGTCCCAGCTGATTGGCTGGGTCTCCTTTTGTTGCCCTGCACAGGAGAATGGAGCTGGAAAGCAGGTTAGTGGGATGGGGAGGGAATGGGGTTTTGCAGTAACCTTCCCTTGCTATGCCCACCAAGCCACACCATGCCCACCAAGCCATGCCCACAGAACTGGTAGTAAAAAAAAATTGAATCCCACCACTGATAAGGGCCATGTTGCAAAAAAAAAATGCAGTTCATTGTTAAAAACCACAGCTTAGCATGTGTGTGTGTTTTTAGACCCATTGCTAAAGGCTAGGACCTGGGGTGCTTTTCCTCCAAACTGAAGAGGACTTAACTTCTAAAGAAAGAAACAGAGTTTCCAGAATGTGAAAAGAAGCTGGAAGATTATGGCATGTCTCTTAGAACTGCCCCATTGGTTTTTCAAAGCACGGTTGTTAGCCAGCTGTCGCTGTTGTTCCCTCTGGCATCCAGAGCTAAAAGAAAAGAACACCACGGAGCCACCATGCATCAGACTGCAGACTGCAGAATGCCTGCTCTGTCCACGCACTCCTAGTCAGCAGTAAATCCAGCTCTTTAGCAGCCAGTTTAATAATTAAGTCCTGAGGCCATGAAGCGCAGTGGCCAAGACAAGGGAGATGCCCACGCAGAGCCAAGCCCAGCCTTTGAAGGCAGCAGGTGCAAAACGCCTGCCAGACCACCGAAAATAATAGGGAATGGAAGCGTAATTATGTTCTTCCTTCCCAAAGGTTACATTTAAAAGAAAAAGAAGGCAGCTGGTCTTTAAAAGCTAATGCTGGTGGGCACCCTTTTTTTTTTTCTTTTTTTGCTTTTAGCAATGGGCAGGAAGTTATTGAGTGAGACAAAGGAAGGTGCACCGCCCACTTGTGTCTTGAACACTGCTGCATAAATATGCCAAGAACAATCTTTATTTTGCAACGTAGGGCTGTTCCACAGGCTTTGCATCGGAGAGCTTGCCTTCCTACAAGCTGGGCAGGATGATTGCTAAACTGGATTTATTATTCACCGCGATTATTTATTTATTTGTCATACATGTACAAGATAACAGTATATTATAGTTGAATGGATCACATACCTCGGTTCTAGTTTACATGAAAGCTGGAACATGACCAAAAAACAAGGATAGAGAAAGCTCATACAGCAGTCTTCAAAATGAAAAAGTCTTCTGCAATAAGCCTAAGATTGAAAATCAGGCTTGTCAGAGGTTACACAGAGTTGGAATAGAGAGTTGGTTTCTGACAGAAAGCCACTTGAAGAGACTAGAAGCATTTGGAATGTGGATTGACAGGCAGCTGTTACGTATAAGCTGGGTTGACAAAATCAGAAATGAGGAGGTGAGAAGCTGCCTGGGAAAGCCAAGGGAAACCATCAAAACCATAAAAAAGCGAAAGTTAGAATATTTCGGACATGGGATGTGACACCCGGAAAAATACGGCCTACTTCACTTAATCCTCCAGGAAAAGATAGAAGGCAAATGAGGTCCAGGCAGAAGAAGAACAGCATGGCTTCCAAATTTAAGGGCAAATTGAGTTTGGACAAAACTCAATGGCACTTTTTCATGCGGCTGTTGATAAAAATAGGATCGCCAATGTCTGATGATGGATATGGCACAAGAAGATCATTATTTTTTTCCCTAGCAAGCCTAGAGTAATCCAATTCATCCGGCCAGCTGGAAAACAAAGGCCGTCTTGATTTACAACCATTCATTTAGTGACTGTTGAAAGTCACAATGGCTCTGAAAAAGATGAGTTGCATCCAGTCCTTGTGCTTTATGACTGCCGTGGCATCCCCGTGGTCATGTGAGCAATCCCCAAATTGATTTGGCAACCAGCATGTATTTAGAACAGCTGCAGCAAACTGGGGTCATGTGGTTGCTATTTATGACCTTCCCAGCCAGCTTCCAACAAGCAGTCAATGTGGGAGTTGGATTTGCTTAATGACTACATGATCCACTTAACAATTTCCCTGATTCACTTAACAACCAGGACAAAGAAAAAAAAAGACCGTAAAATCTGGTGCAACTCTCTTAACAACCACTTATCTCAGCAATGGAAATTTAAGTCCCAATTATCACAAGTTGATACCGATAAAGGAATATTTGTAGCTCAGCGTTGAAATGAGGGATCCTTGGTGGTCTCTGAGCTTGTTATTTTCTTGCAGACGCTTCATTACCCAAACTAGGTAACATCATCAATGCTAGAAGGGAGTGGGGTGTGTGGAGTGGAGGAGGATTGTGGGGTTCTTGGTGCTCTCTGAACTTGCTTATTTTCTTGCAGATGTTTCATTACCCAACTAGGTAACATCATCAGTGCTAGTAAGGAGTGTTGTTTGCTGTCAGTTTATATTCTGGTGTCTTGCCTGTCTGTGTAGGTGGAGGGCAGTCTTAGAGATTATTTGGTTGGGCTGTTTACTGATGGCACTTTGGCATAGCCTATGCCAAAAAGACAACCAACCAGCCCAAAAGAGAGCAAAAAGGCTCCAGCGTGGAATCAGCAACCAGGAATCACCAACTCCACCAGGAATCAGCAACCTCATCAGCCTAGATTAACTCCAAGGTCAGCTTCAGACCAGCAATCAAGTAATCAATACCCCAGTCCAGAAACTGCCAAAGAGCCATCAGTAAACGGAAAACATCACTCCTTACTGGCATTTGGAGGTGGGTATTCAGCAGGTTCTGACCAGTTCTAGAAAACTGGTAGCGGAAATTTTGAGTAGTTCGGAGACCTGGCAAATACCACCTCTGAAATGGCCCAGCCCCCATCTATTCTCTGCCTCCTGAGTCTCAGCTGATCAGCTGGGTCTTCTTTGGTTGCCCTGCACAGGAGAATAGAGCTGGAAAGTAGGTTAGTGGGGTGGGAAGGGAATGGAGATTTTTACCATGCCCACCAAGCCACGCCCATAGAACCGGTAGTAAAAATTTTGAATCCCACCACTGCTAGCCCTGATGATGTTATCTAGTTGGGTAACGAAAGGTCTGCAAGAAAACAACCAAGCTCAGACATCACCAAAGACCCCTGGTGTCCTAAAATGAGGACCCCAACTAAATACACCCCTCCAACTCAGTGGTCCTCATGCCTCAACTCCGTTCTTCTCCGGGCTCGGTTTTTCCAGCCATTTAACCCAAGAAGCATCAGCGTAGTTAGGGCGTTTACGCGGGCTCATCCCAGCCGATCAGTTACATCCTGGAGAGTTTGCAACCTTGCCACGATCTCCACCTGCATCCCCTTTCCTTTTAGTCCTGCGGGCCATTTTGATGCCGGCATCTTTTCTTTTCTTTCTTTCTTTTTTAATGAATGACCAGGTGAGAGTGCACGTGCCGCGCCTTGGCAACCGAGCCCGCCTCCCCTTGGGAGGGGGGATTGGAGGGGGCTCGGCTTCTTTTTGTGTGCGGTGGTTAAAAGAGGCGCGGTGAGTCCCAGCCTCGAGACTCCGTGGGACACCTGGCAAGCTTGACCATGGGTGGGAGGAAAAGCGGAGCCCGGCAGATGCCCTTCGCCTGCTCTCCAGCTCCGAACCCAGCGGAGCATCGTCTTCCCGGCACGCTGTCCCCTTAAAAGGGACCGGTCGTTGTTGACCCGCGCAGGGCGTGTTTGCGCAAGTCCTTCTGGCCGGCCGGCTCCCTTCTTCGGCCCTGATGGCCGCGGCAAGCGTTTCCACGCCGGAGTCGGACAGCGGGCTGGCCTCGGACCTCTTGTGGAGCCCCTTGGCCAGCCCGAACCTCCGGAGATCCCTGCGGGAGAAGGAGGAGCTGCGCCAGCTCAACGACCGCCTGGCCGCCTACATCCAACGCGTGCGGGCCTTGGAGGCGGCCAAAGCGGCGTTGCATCTCCGCCTGGGCCGGTACGAGGAGGACAGCAGCCGCGACCTGGGCTCCTTGCGGAGCACCTACGAGAGGGAGCTGGCCAAGGCTCGCCAGGCGTTGGAGCACCGGGCCTTGCAAGAGGCGGCCTTGCAGGCGGCGGCGGACTCGTTGCGCGAAGAGCACCGGCAGCTTCTGGCCAGGTCAGTCCGGCGCCGGAGAGCCGCTTTCCAACGGGCCCGCCACTGGCTGGGTTCCCACGGCCCCGGGGGAGAAGGGAAACGCGGATGGTTGAGGCCGGTTGCTTCACTCCTCGGGCCGGCCCTGTTGTGCCAAAACAGGTTTTCCGTTACAAGCCACAAATCCCGTTTCGGCAAGGCCCGCAGTGACACCCACAAAAGGAACTGAGGTGGGAGTGGAAGGAAGGGGAAGCCCAGTTCACACAACACGCTAAAACCCTTTGCTTGCTTTTTCACCCATTAGGCTACTTGGAGATAAATTGGATGAGAGCCAGTTTGGTGGCTAAGGTGTTGGCCTAGCAACTAGGTGGCAATGAGTTCCAGGAACAGGGTTGGAGAAAAATAGACACGGTTGCTAGGAATAAGTGACACATGAGCTGTCAATAAGCGTAAAAGCTGGCTTGGGTGCTTTTGGGCCAGTCCTTCGTCCTCTCAATCCATCCCACCTCATAGGGTTATTGTGGGATCTCTCTCTCTCTCTCTCTCTCTCTCTCTCTCTCTCTCTATTTATCTATCTATCTATCTATCTATCTATCTATCTATCTATCTATCTATCTATCTATCTATCTATCTATCTATGCGCGAAATACCACTCACGCCTCATCACGAAATCTCCTGAACCATAAAGCCTACAAACTTGAAATTTGGCACATACGTTCCTCTTGGTTTCTAGGTGCTCACTAAGAAAGGATTTTTTGAAATGACCATCAGAGCATTAGTATTTCATATATTATTATTAATATGCTCTGATACTAAGGAGTTCTACTTCCCCTCCCCACCTGAAAAGAAATCTGTTCCAAATGCAAAACACAAGCAGAGGAGAGGAGGTTCAGTTTCAGAGCACCAAGCAGCTTTAGTACAGAACAGTTGAGCTAAGCTACCCCCAGGCTCCTTGCTGTCTCCTTCTTGCTCACACAGCAAATACTGTTTCACTTTCCAAACAGCCCTCAACTCTCTCCCACACTGACAGGACACTAGCCAGATGAATATTGATGGATGTTGGTAGGCAGAGGCAGAATTCTCCCCCTTATTTTCCTCCCCCAAAACTAAGCCCCATCACATAATTTCATAGTGAAATTATCCAGTGCCTGGATCTCAGTATTAAAACTGTTAAAAGGCTTGTCATATTTGTGAACACAAAGGCTTCTGTTTGTGAACAATCCTGGGTAAACTTATTCAAAGCCAATCTCTCTGGGCAACAGCACCCTGGGTTGAATTTCTTTCCATATGCTTTGAATTGTTGCGGACTGACATCAAAAACTCAGCCTTTCTTTCTGAATTAGGCATTTCATGATCTGTCCATTAGTTGTTTAATCTGGAAAACGCAATCATAACTTCTGATTTGCCAATTTTGGATATACAAAATAACCTCTCTCCATACTGGAGAATTGTGGACCGATAAATATTGATAAATGTTTATAAATAGTGATGTCGTTTAAAACAGATATGACTTCATTGTGAGTTGGAAAATATTCGCAGCAAAGGAACTCTTTTTCAAGGACAATGCTGAAAATAAAGGATTTTTCCTGAAAAGTTGGGGAATTCTGTCCTAAGCGCCATAGAGTCTTACCTGTCTGTTTCCAAAAGTAGGCAGTCTAGACTCTAGAGAGATCCCTGTATTATAGGCAAAATACAATAAAATAGCTTTAACTCTACATATGTGGATCCAGTTGTTTGCATCTGACATTACTGCAATATATGATATGTTAATCGTTATCAATAAAATTCAAATAGTACTGCAGATGTGTCTCTATAGATCGCATAACTAACAGAAAGCATATTCTGGCTGGTTGAAGAAGGATAGTGGCCCCTGAGGGCCAAAATTCTTCAGAAGTTTTCTTTTCCAGTTGTCCTTTTAAGATTCTCTGCTGAGGAGGCAGTTGCCATGGACACAAATGCTGATTTAGCATTTGCCCTACGCACTAGCAGCCTAGCATCTCTGTCTGTCTGAGAGTGAACGTGGTGGCATAGTGGCTGTCCAGATCATGTATAATCCTGGTTAATTTAACCTTGTTTACTGGAACTGGTTTTCTATGTATAGTACAATCACAGGATGATTAACGGCTTGCTCACGTGGCTCAGACAGTGTTACTGACATTTCTTTTATAGATTTGTGAAATACCATTTGATAAAATTGGGTCTCTCTGCTTCAGGGAGTTTACATTCAGAAGTCTAGAGGCTAGACTGGTATTTCACATTACACTAAGCTGTGGTTTGTGGAATCAGTACAGAGGCCCGAGCCACACCGTCTCCTAAGCGTAACTCATGGACTGGATTTGTGCGATGAGCAAAATAACCAATGTGCAAACTTTACAGTTTAGTGTGCTAGACAAGCAAGTGATCAGCTAGCCTTCCCAAACCAAGCTTTTAGCTGTTTTAAAGAACACACCACCTTAATACACCAAGCCATCTTCTGCTGCATCTCGCTTTGTTTGCAGGAACACTAAAAAAGAACATGAATTAAGTTCGGCAATTGCTCGAGCGAGAGATCTGGATGCTCGTCTAAACTCCAGAGAGGCTGAACTGGCAACCGCTTTACACACACAACAGAATTTGGAGAAAGAGCTTCAAGAATCCCAGGACCAAACCATCTCTGTAAGGGGTTGATCAGAGAAATCTCAACCGTCTTGTTAAAATTGTGGGGTCTTTATTATCTATCCTGCATATTTATTTTGCTCTTGGGTTTATTTTGCTATGCTGGATTTGGGGGCGGGGGGAAGGATTCTGGATCTCTGAATGGGGGAATTCTGGATTCCCACAGTACAGATAAGTTCTCGACTTACGATCACAATGGAGCCCCAAAGTTCCATTGTTAAGGCTCGGTTGTTAAGTGAGTTTCGCCCCAGTTTACAACCTTCCTTGCCACCGTTGTTCAATGAGTCAGTGCAGTTGTTAAGTTAGTACCAGGGTTGTGACCCATTGTCTTTGCTCATCAGGTCGCAAAAGGGGATCAAACGACCCCGAGACATTGCAACCATCATTAATATGAGTCAGTTGCCAAGCGCCTGAAGGTTGATCATGTGACTATGAGGAGGCTACAATGGTTGCCTTAGTAAGACTACACCTAGAGTAGCGCATCCAGTTTTGGTCACCACACTATAAAAAAGATGCTGAGGCTCTAGAAAAAGTACAGAGAAGAGCAACCAGGATGATGAGGGGACTGGAGGCTAAAACATACAATGAAAGATTACAGGAACTGGGCTTGGCTAGTCTAGTGAAGAGAAGGACCAGGGGAGACATGATAGCGGTCTTCCAATATTTGAGGGGCTGCCACGGGGAGGAGGGGGTCAAGCTATTTTCCTAAGCACCCAAAGGCCAGACAAGGAATAAAGGAAGGAAACTGAACAAGGAGAGATTCAACCTAGAAATCAAGAGAAACTTTCTGACAGTGACAACAATCAACCCATGGAACAGAAGTTGCCCTCGGAAGTTGTGGGAGCGCCATCACTTGAGACTTTCAAGAAGAGACTGGACTGCCATCTGTCAGAAATGGTGTAGGGTCTCCTGCTTGGGTGGGGGGTTGGACTAGATGACCTACAAGGTCCCTTCCAACTCTGATTATATGTTAAATCTGTCGCAAGTGTGAAAAACGGTCATAAGTCATTTTTCCCAATGCCATCGTATCTTTGAACCATCACCAAACTAACCATAAGTCAAGGACTACCTGTATCTGGGTTTGATTTCCTTGTGAATGAGGTCGACAGAGGCATAGAGTTTTCTATAATAATTGGGGAGGGGTATTAACAATCATACCATTTGACCTTGAATGGACTTTCAACCTAAAAAGACACTCAGCCATCAGTCAAATCCCCTCCCATCAACAAAGCTCCAGAATCGTGCCACTCTTGGATGGCACTAAAAGATCTCATTCAAAAATTAATCTTTATTTGCTTTCCTAAATGCTCACCTAGAAATGCCTTAGAACAAGTGTACTCCTATATCTTAGGGGGAAGATGACAGCTCTCTAATCCATGCTGGTTTAGAAATCTCCACTGATGCCAACATCTTCATTAAGTTGCTTGTACTCCATGGCTTATTAACTGGCAGCTCTAGCAGGGTTAGTGAAATAATGTTCTGATACACAAAGTTGGCTTAGAACCATGCAGTAGGCGAAGCCAAAATAAACTACATTACATGTTTTAGGGTGTGAACCTAATCGGTCTTACATGCTGAAAAACATAGGAACACATGTTTGTTTTATCTACAATTAGTAAGAATAACAAAAGCTTGCATGCTGTTTTACAGCCTAAAATGATCTGCTGGAATAGGCTGACTTGAAATAGTTTGCCTTTAGGCTACAGAAGGAGGTGAATCTTGAAAGATGGATGATTCACTTCAGACAAAATCTTAGCTGAAAATCCTAACTCCTAAAATCCTAACCTTTAGGATAGAATTATTTATTTATTGGCCACGTGTGATTGCACACACAAGGAATTTGTCTTGGTACATGTGCTCTCAGTGTACATAAAAGAAAAGATACATTCATCAAGAGTCAAGAATCATCAGATACAACACTTAATAATAGTCATAGGATACAATAAGCAATCAAATCATACTAAGAAACAGTCAATATAAATCTGTTCTTGTGTCTAGTTGTTCTGGTGTGCCGTGCTGTATAGGGTTGTTTTGAGGGAAGGAGTTGAAACAGTGTATGTCGGGGATGTGAGGGGTCTGTAGATATTTTCACAGCCCTCTTTTTGACTCGTACAGTATACAGGTCCTATAGCTTGTGCAAATGCTTCATTGAGCACAACAAATGTTGTTGGTTTTTTTTTTCTAGCTTAAGGAGCTGCTGAAAAGTTCCAGAAATGAACTTCAGAATGAGAAGTTGAAAAGAGCAGAGTTGGAAAATCAAGTGAAATCTTTCCGAGAACAAGTGGCATTTCTGAAGAGCTTCCATGAAAACGTATGTATTTTCAGTCCAAAATGCCGATTTGATCCATTCCCTTAGAGCAGGGGTGTCCAACCTTGGCAACTTTAAGACTTGTGGACTTCAACTCCCAGAATTCTGGGAATTGAAGTCCACAAGTCTTAAAGTTGCCAAGGTTGGACACCCCTGCCTTAGAGCTTCAAACTTGTACAAATAATTTGAAGGGGCGCCATCTCCCTTCTGTTCTTCCCAATTGAAATGGAAAATAACTTTGCTGATATATTTTTTTCCTGGCCATCAGGACAAAAGCTGACAAGGTTACAAGCAAAAGTACTGTCTATGGAGATTCTCAATCATGGTTGTCCCAAAGGTGCTTTCCAAAGGGCAGCTGGACTTTCTTGAGTTTTTCCCCCCAGAAAAATGTTTCACTTCTCATCCAAGGAGCTTAACAGAATAACAGAGGTGAAAGGGACCTTGGAGGTCTCCCAGTCCAACCCCTTGCTCAGACAGGAAACCTTATACTATTCCAGACAAGCAATTGTCCAAATTCTTCTTTAAAACTTCTAGTGATGGAGCACCCACAACTTCCGCTAATTAATTGTTCTAACTGTCAGAAAATTTATCCTTAGTTGCTTTTCTCCTTGATTAGTTTCCACCCATTGCTTCTTGTCCTGCCTTCAGGGTCTTTGGAGAATGGCTTGACTCCCCCTTCTTTGTGGCAGCCCCTGAGATACTGGAACACTGCTATCATGCCATCCCTTTTTCTTCTTCAGTTCCTTTTTAAAAAAAAAAAACTTTTGAATTGGGTTATAAAAATAGAATTTTTTATTGGCCAAGTGTGGTTGGACACACACAAGGAATTTGTCTTGGTGCAAATACTTTCAGTGTACATAAAAGAAAAGATACATTTGTCAAGAGTCTAGAATCATCAGGTACAACACTTAATGATAGTCATAGGGTACAATAAGCAATCAAATCATACTAGGAAACAGTCAATATAAATCATAAGGATACAAGGGACAAAGTTACAGTCATACAGTCACAGTAGGAGGGGATGGGTGATAAAGAGTGATGAGAAGGTTAACAGTAATGTTAATAATATATAATCATATGATAATAAAAAATAAGGTACAAAAAATACAAAGGTAAATAGGAAAATGGTAGGAAGGAAGAAGGGCAGAGAAGTAAGAAAGGATAAGGAAAAAAGAAAAACTTTAACTTCCAATTCTCTCTGTTACCGTTAAATAAGGCATTGACATCAAAATCACTTTGTGTTTTTTCATAATAGTATGAACAAGCCATTTCTATAAAGATTTATCAATTGAATTGGTAAAACCCAAAATCAAAGTTTCATTCTTCTCCACTTCAAGCACAAAGTTCAGAAGTGGCCTCTATGTGGAAACAAAAGTGCTTATATTCTTGTCTTTAACCAAAATAATTTTGGCAGGAGCTGCTTCAGTCCTGAAGAAGTTTGGTTCGGAACTGAGGAAGCTTCTTTGATGAGAAGCGAAATGTTTTCAAGAGGGAAAAACCAAGAAAGTCTGTTTTATTTGGTGATCGCCTGTTAGATTGGCCAATTACAATAAGAAGGCGACCACTTTTCCTGCTGACAATCAGCTTCAGATCTTCTAGGTCTGAATGCTAGAAATTCTAGGTCTGAATGTTAGAAATTAGTGTTTGTGTTGTGGCCTGCCAGTGGCCAGTGGAGCTGGCAGCAGATTCAGACAGTGAGGAGGTTGGGGAGGAACCTGGGCCAGTCCTGGAGGCTGAGAGAGGCTCAGGTGTGGGCTCTGCATCAGAGGCAGAGATGGGGCCAGGGCAGCCTGGCAGTTATCAGGTGCCTTCGGAGTTGGACAGCAGTGAGGTGGGGGAGTAGCTGGAGCCGGTTCCCAGCCTGCGCATGCACAGAGCTGCCAAAAGAAAAAAACAATTATGAACTAAGGGTCGATGTGGGAGTAAAGCCACAGGTGGACGGCTCATTTAGTGACCGTCCAAAGTTACAACAGCACTGAAAAAAGTGACTGGTTACTGTTTTTCATGCATGACCTTTGTGGCATCCCCATGGACATGTGATCAGAATTCAGATGCTTGGCAACTGATTCATATTTACGACCATGGCTAGGTCCTAAATTTTACAAAAGATGAGGAGAACATCTTTGTAGATTTGAAAATTCTACTTGTGTTATTTTGGATGAAGTGGCATTCGGAATATCCAAACTCAGCCCACAATTTATTTGAGGGCGGCGGTGGGGATCCAGATTTGTCAGTTGAATTAAAGCCTTTGTTTAGGGATTAAGTGAAGAAAATTCTTCCTTTGCAACTTGTTTCTCCTCTCAGGAACTCAAGAACAAGAAGCAACTTTACGAGAGCAGGATTCAAGGGATTGTATCTGGCCGTCGACAGGAATATGACGCTAAACTAATGAATTCTCTGCAGGAGCTGAGAAAAGAGCATGAACAACAAATCAAGGAATACAAAGATCAGGTGGAACAAAATTTCCAAGCCAAAGTGAGTTAAATAGGAAGAGTCTTCATTAATTAAAGGAAAGGGAAAATGTTGTGTTGTCTACTCAAAGCCATGTATTTCCATGGACCACTCTTTCTTTCGAGGATTAAAATAAACAATTGTAAAATCGATAATCAGGGATCGATAGCCCGACAACTCAAAGCAACCCTAATCAGAAAAATCCAGTGGTGAAGAATGCTGGAATATCAGCAACTTCTAAAAGGCCATAAGTTCTTCATTATTAAAGGAGTCAGAAGCTAGTTAGTTGGTTGAGTCTAGAAATTAAATCCATAGTTTAGCCGTGGAACATTGAAGAGAATGATTTGGGGCTGGATTGGAAGATGATGTATGTGGAAACAGAATCAAAGGTCTACAGTTTGGGAAGAAGGGGAATTCAAAATAATAATTTTTGGATGCACTTTGGATGAAAATATGAAAAGAAGCAATACAGTTACTTACAAATATATGGAACTTTATAACAGCACACACACTCTGAAAGTCCAAAATAGTTTTATTCCTGTTTGTAGATAGGAATGTGCTACAACAAAATATTATTAACCAAAATTATTTTTGCAGGTAGAAAATGCGCTCCTTTATGCTGAAAAGAAGCATGATTTAGCTACTTCTGTTCAAGAGGAACTGAAAAAAACGAAACTGAAGCTTGATAATCTCGTATCACAGGTAAACCAAAAACCCAGGCAAAACTAGGTATATGCAAGAGTGAGCAGATGCCTCCTGGGTCTTCTATTAGGAAGAGCATTTTATTAGTTCATCAAAATATAAAATACAGAAGTGCAAATAAAAATAAAAACAAGGGGGAAATAAGGGAGGAAAGGGGGAAATAAGGGAGGAAAGGGGGAAGAGAAAAATGTATAGGGTAAGAGGAGAAAGAAAAAGAAAAGTATTAACTTCTGACTCCTTTTGATGCAGTAGAATAAGGTAGTAGCATACCACCTCAACTTTTTACTTTTATATAGTAAAAATAGAAATAGCAATAGCACTTGACCTTATATACTGCCACATAGTGCTGTACAGCCCTCTCTAAGTGGTTTAGTAGGTCAGCACCCAACAGTCTGGGTCCTCATTTTACCAACCTCAGAAGGATGGAAGGCTGAGTCAACCTTGAACCAGTCAGAATCGAACTCTTAGCAGTGGGCAGAGTTAGCGTGCAATACTGCAATCTAACCACTGCGCCACCACGGCTAGCATAAGAATATATACTAGCTATTTCTATAACAACAAACCTATGGTATCTAATGAGCAAAACCCAAAATAAAAGTTTCAATGCTGATTTGGGGCCCCTTCAGTCTTTTAAAAAGAGATATCTGCTCTTAGAACCAGTCTGTCCTTAGCTCTGTCGCTCAACCTTAAAAACATTTCTGTTAAATCCAAGAATACCGAATTGCAAGCCAGGATCAAAGAGCTGGAAACTAAGATAAAGGAACTACATAGAGTGATTGATACTGAACGCGACTCCTCCAAAAGACGACTAGCTGAAAAAAACAGGGAGATGGCAGAGATGCAGCAACAGATGCAATCGCAGCTGGACGAATATGAGCAACTGTTGGATGTGAAGCTGGCCCTGGACCTTGAGATCAATGCCTACAAGATGCTGCTGGAAGGAGAAGAAAAACGGTAAGCTTGGAAATCTCCTCTCGGTAAGTACACTGTTGACTTACAACAGCTTGTTTAGCAATAGCCGTTAGATTTATATACTACTTAACAGTACTTTACAGCCCTCTCTAAGCAGTTAACAGAGTTAGCATATTGCCCCAACAATCTGGCTCCTCATTTTACCCATCTTGAAAGGATGGAAGGCTGAGTCAACTTTGAGCCTGGTGAGACTTGAACTGCCAAATTGCAGGCAGCTGGCAGTGAGCAGAAGTAGCCTGCAGTACTGCATTCTAACCACTGCGCCAACATGTGTCTTGAAATCTAAATCTGGATCTCCAATCCGAATGCAACTTTTTAACCCCCATGCTACACTGTCTCCCATGCTTCATGACCAACATGCTTCCTAATTATTAAATTAGCTCTTAATCTGGTTTGCATGAGGCATTAACTCCGATAAGACTGAATCCACACAAGATGCAAAACCAGAATAACTCTAGCAATAGCACTTAAGACTTATATATTGCTTTATAGCCCACTCTAAGTGGTTTACAGAGCCAGCCCCCAATAATCTGCGTCCTCATTTTACCCACCTGGGAAGGATGGAAGGCTGAATCAACCTTGAGCCTGGTGGGATTTGAACTGCCAAATTGCAGGCAGCCGGCAGTCAGCAGAAGTTGCCTGCAGTACTGCATTCTAACCACTGCGCCACCGTGACTCTCAAGTGACTTTCAAAGTTTTAACGACACAGGGAAAAGTCACTTATGACCATTTTTCACTATTATAACCATTGCACCATACCCATGGTCATGTGACCAAAATTCAGGTCCTTGACAACTATTTGTGACTCCTATTTATGACGGCTGCAGTGTTGCAACCTTCCGACAAGCAAAGTCAATGAGGAAATCAGATTCACTTAACCAGCATGTTACTGACTTAAGAACTGCAGTGATCCACTTAACAATTGTGTCAGGCAAGGTTGTAAAATGGAACCAAGTCTTACTTTACAAATGTTTCACTTAGCAGCATAGATTTTGGGGCTCAATTGTGGTCATAACTCAAGGACTACCTGTATTTTCTTAATCTAGGTTGTGGCTTTTAAGAGTAACATATATTTTTTTTGCTTTACTTTGGTAGTTTGAAACTCTCCCAATTCTCCTCTGAAAGTGGGAAAGCAGAGAGGAAAAGCGATAGGAGTTGGACCACCATAAGTCACGGCCACCGCCTCTTCCTGCAAGGAAGGAAACGCAAACGTGCATCGGCCAAGAAACAGGCGCACAGCCTGAGCTTCAAAGTGGTCCAGCGAGCATCTTCTTCAGGAAGCATCTCCATAGAAGACATTGACATGGAAGGAAAATTCATCAAAATTAAAAACAATTCTGATCAGGTAAAAACCATTCGTCTCTGGAGTTTTCAAACATCTGGGTGTTTGCATCTGGAAAAAGGTAACTTTGGGAACACAGGTAGCCCTCAAGTTACAACCATTCGTTTAGTGACTGTTCAAAATTGCTGTTCTGACACAGCTCCCCAAACACGACAAACCCTCTGATGTGAACTCAAAAGATTCCTTTATTAGGAATGCTGGCAGCCCCGGCAAAAACTTTCTCTCGCAGGCTAACAAGTCTGTCCACCAGGGAGACGAATAGTTGTCTGCCACATCTCCGCCCCCTACCTTTTATCCCCAGAGCTAGAGCGGGGCTTTGCTATTAGCGGTGACTCTTACTTCCCAAGGATCAGCCCATAGATTTCCACTGCTCTCCTCTCCTCTGCCTTCTGCGCATCCACACGTCAGACACTGAACCCAGCTGTTCCTCCTCTTCCTCATCAGCTCCAGACCTGGGAGCTGTTGACTTTCCGCCTGAGGGCTAACAGAAGGCTCAGGTTCTGTCTCTGTCTCTCTTTTTCTGACAGCTCCATTCCCTCTTCCCCTTCGGAGCTCCCAAGTTGCCCTGATGCTGACATGGACTCCCATGCTGCCTCCTCATCTGATTTGGCTGCTGGAAGGGTCGGCAGCTGACAGGCCACAACAATTACAGCGGCACTGTAAAAAGGGATTTAAAACCAATCCTTGCACTTAGGGCTATCGCAGAAACTCCATGGTCATGTGATCAAAATTTGGGCACTTGCCAACTGGCATGTATTTACAAAGGTTGCAGCATCCAAGGATCACATGATCATCATTTGCAACCTTCCCAGCTGGCTTCTGACAAGCAAAGTCAACGGGACAGGACAGATTCACTTAACAATCATGGGATTCATTGCAGTGATGGCAGAAAAGGCTCTAAATACATGTATAACCCATTTAACAACCAACTTGCTGAGCAGTGGAAATTCTACTCTTAGTTCTGGTTGTAAGTCAAGGACTACTTAAAGATTCTTTCTTTGGAAAGAAAAGAATAGCTTGACTTGTTTCTTTCATAAATCCTATGGTTTTCAAGTTTGGGACAGGATCATAGTCCCGGAATTCTTAGCAATAGCAATAAGCACTTAGACTTATATGCCACTTCACAGTGCTTTACAGCTGTGATGACCCGGAATGTAACACAAACGTAACAAAATCCAAAACGTAAATAAATGTCCTTCAATGCCTCCAACTTGGCCCCACTATTCAATTGTTGGAGATAAAACGTACTCAGAAATAGTCTTCAAAAGAAAGCAATACAGTCTGAACTTAATGAGCAAATAGAGGTGAAATAAAAAAACCAAACAAACTACAGTGATGAAATTTCCACAACGGAACAGGACAAGTATTTACCAAATTCAAGGAGATAACAAAGCAGAGTCTGTTGGAAGGACACCAATCAAGATAACTTCAGACCAAAATAACACACGCTTTGCTTCTGGCAACCTGTGTTTTAACCGCCTCTCTTATATGCTCATCTCCCCAGCTGCAACCAATGAGGAGGATCATGGCCGCTTCCTCTTTCGCAAGCCAAGTTGTTGCCTTCTCCGTTCCTCCCTATGTGTCCTTGGATACAGAGGGGATGAGCCTGGTTCTTCCTCTGACTGCCCAGCAGCCTCTATCCTTCCCCAGCCTCCTCCACAACCTCTGGAGCCACACCTCCACTCCCTGTCGGCTGTTCCTCCTCTCCCTCAGAGTCTGACTCTACCAAGGGCATGACAACAGCCCTCTCTAAGTGGTTTACAGAATCAGCCTCTTGCCCCCAACAATCTGGATCCTCATTTTACTGACCTCAGAAGGATGGAAGGCTGAGTCAACCTTGAGTTCCATCAGGATCGAACTCCAGGTTGTAGGCAGAATTTGCCTGCAATGCTGCAATTCAACCACTTGGGATATCCTTTAGATATGAAGTGATTAAAAATACAAAGGGGGAGACATGCTATTTCTCCCAGACCAATTGCCCCCTTTCAACCTGGTTTTCTTGAAATGAAGAGTCATTGCAAAGAGGATACATGAGAGCAAAAAATGAAGTCTGTGTGATAAAGAAAAATTTGCTTATAGAAAGTTACTCTGGGAACACAAGTAGTTCCCAATTTACAACCATTCCTTTTAACATCTATTCAAAATCAGGAATGGAGAAACTCAACTTGGATCAGGAGTGAAGAAACTCAACTCCAGGACCATCCTCAGCTGCAAAAGCTCACTGAGCGATGTTAGACCTGTTATTATCTCATAATTCAGGACTAAGACTAGAGTAACAGAGTGGGAAGGGACCTTGGAGGTCTTCTCGTCCAGGGGTCGCCAACCTTTTGAACCTCAGGGACCAGCAAACTTTTAAATCCCGCGGACCAGAGACCCTGGAAAAATCCCCCAAAAAGTCTGCAGGAAAATTCCCTACCCCATTTTCCTACTGATCGATCGTTCTTTATTTGGGATCACAGGATACCGTCTCCAGCTCCATTCTCAGTGGGGAGAAAGAGAGAGAGAGAGAAAGAGAGACTTTTGGCTTCATGCAAGGAAAGCAGCAAAAGCAGCAGAAGTCTTTGTTTCTCTCCCCCAAACTCCACCAGAAATGAGTCTTTATGAGACTTGTTATGTGGGTGCAGCCTCTTGGAGCAGGATGCCTTGCAGGGTCCCAAAGACTCACTTCTGGCAGAGTTTGGGGGAGAGAAAGAAAGACTTTTGCTGCTTTCCTTGCGTACAGCCAAAAGCAGAAGAAAGAAGCAGAAAGAAGGAACCCGGTGGACAGGTGAGGCGCGTGGAGCAAGTGGAGCAAGTTCCCCCCCCCCTCCACCCTTTCCCCCTTCCCCTCAGTACCTTGTTCGCAATGCAAGCCTTGTGTTCCCACGGGCCATGTGGGAGGTGCAGCCTTTTGTTCCCGCATAGCCTGGCTTAATTGCTTTAGTGGCTGACATTTCTCTGCGGACCACCAAAATTTTCTCACAGATCACCAGTGGTCCCCGGCCCACTGATCTAGTCCAACCCCCTGCTTAGGCAGGAAACCCTACATCACTTCAGACAAATGGTCGTCCAATCTCTTCTTAAAAACTTCCAGTGTTGGAGCATGTTCACCTACATGCTAGGATTTTTTGGCAAAAGAAGTTTTATTTATTTATTTATTTTTATTTGTCAATTGCTTACAAGATAATAGGTATAAGTAAAAACATAGTTAGGAATACATGGATACATATAAGAAAAATAAAAAACTATATAAAAGTTAAAAGTTTTTCCACCAGGGCTTTAGGTCAATTGTTTCTTAGATGCTACTTTGGTTTGCAGGATCAGCTACTAGGTGGATGGATGGTTAGGAAGCAGCACCAAAATGAATCAGACACTATGTACAAGTTTCCTGCTCAATTCATTCTTCAGGCTGGTCACGTAGTAACTGTGAGTGTCTATTTTTAATAGTTCTCTTACTTTTTTGTGGGGGGATGGAAAACTTTAAATGGTTTTATTTTGCTTCTTGTTGTTAAGCCTGCTTGAAAAGCTATCCACATTCCCTTTCACATCAGTCATAAACCATTTAAAATCAGATTTAACTTCTGTACCATTATTTCTTTTCAGATCTGGGGGAAAAGTGTGGGTTTAAACCCAAGTCCTAGCACCCTGGTTTGGGAATCCCAAAAGTCATGTAGACTTGGAGAGAACATCGGTATTGTTCTCCTCGACGGTGATGGGAATGTAAGTACCAAACTGACTTTACCTAATTATTACTCAGAAAGCCAGTTTAGTTTGATGGTTTAGGGCACCAGCCTAGAATCCAGGAGACTACGAGTTCTGGTTTCCAATTTAGATATTTGGGTCAGTCACTCACTCTCAGCCTAAGAAGAACACAAAACAGTTGCAAGGAAAACTCTGGGTTTATCCAGGCAGTTGCCGGGAGTGAGGACTTAACTGGAAGGCACAAAAATATTTTTTTAAAAAAAGTTAACACCTCTGTCACGTGTCTTCTACTTTCAGGAGACTGCAGAAGGAATGATCATGTATCTGGAAAGAGGAGAAGGTGATGGAGAAATGGAAGATGCTGCAGAAGAAACAAAGCTAGGGATTCATAGCCAGGTATGTTTAACTGACCATCTGAATGTTGAGAATGAGAACTAGATCATTGGATTCTTATTTGGTGGATGGGGATGCATTTCACTTCAAATGCCAATTGGGGAAAACAGTGGTCGGATTCAAAAAATTTTTTACTACCGGTTCTGTGGCATGGCTTTGTGGGTGTGGCATGGCTTTGTGGGCGTGGCAGGGGAAGGATACTGCAAAATCCCCATTCCCTCCCCACCCCACTAACCTGCTTTCCAGCTCCGTTCTCCTGTGCAGGGCAACCAAAGAAGACCCAGCCAATCAGCTGGGACTCAGTGGGAGGCGGAGAAGAGATGGGGGCGGGGCCAGTCAAAGGTGACATTTGCCGGTTGTCCGAACTACTCAAAATTTCCACTACCAGTTCTCCAGAACTGGCCAGAACCTGCTGAATGGTGGAGAAGTTTTCAAAAGTGTAATAATATGCACATTAGTCACGCCAATGGGTCTAGACTGCCCCAATCATGCTAGCGGAAGAGGCCTGCTACAAAATTGCAGCAGGCAGGGTCGAGAACCTTTTCCATTGTGGTCCAAACTCTGTGGAACACTCTACCACCGCAGGTGATGAGGACTGCTCCCTCCCATTTGGCCTTCTGAAGGTATTAAACGACTGACCCAAATTTCCCCGCTTGGCTTGGGGCTTCCAGCTCACTGCTGGAGGTGTTGGACAGAGCAAGAAGATCTCATCCCCATGTCATCCATCTCCTTGATTCTAGTTTTTTTTGCAGAATTTAAAACAATAAAATTTCCCATTTATCTTTTTATGGTTTGTAAGCCACCCAGAGCAGTAGTGGTATTCAAAAGTTTTTACTACCAGTTCTGTGGGTGTGGCTTGGTGAGCGTGGCTTGGTGGGTGTGGCAGGGGAAGGTACTGAAAAATCCCCATTCCCTCCCCACCCCACTAACCTGCTTTCTAGCTCTGTTCTCCTGTGCAGGGCAACCAAAGAAGACCCAGCCAATCAGCTGGGACTCAATGGGAGGCAGAGAATAGATGGAGGCAGGGCCAGTCAGAGGTGGGTTTTGCCGGTTCTTCGAACTACTCAAAATTTCCGCTACCAGTTTTCTAGAACTGGTCAGAACCTGCTGAATACCCACCTCTGACCCAGAGTCACCTTATCCGAGCGGCCTACCAATTTAATAAATGAATAATGTAGTAATGTTCCTCTCATCTCGACATATTCGGGATTAAAAAAAGAAATGAAAGCAGCCAGGGGGGTGTTCTTAAAAATCTTGCAAACTTACAAAAGGAAACAAGAACTTATTTCCCCCCCAGTATTGCTCAGCCAGGTTGTAAACTTATGGTTTATGGGCACTACTTGTGTACTGAAATAATTGTGGCAATCCATACAACCCTCCAAGCCAGAGATCATCAGTTCTAAGCTGTCCATTCCTTCCCGCAGCACAATGAAACCCGCAGCTGCCCCATCATGTAACCAGAAGTTGGTTCCTTACTGGATAAGCTTGAAACAGGATGTGCCCAGAATTGAAAATGGCGTCAGAGATTGTTTGGCTCCGCCCAGGGAGTGGATGCTGTACCTTTCCTCCATTCTTCTCAACTTCCAAGGACAAGGTGGCTTGTGACTCCTAACGGCCAACCCGTGAAAGACTTATATGCAAGGATTAAGGCAGATGGGTACCATCTTGATTATGATCATCTCGGAGTTGCCTCTGTGAGCCTTAAGATACCTTCCATTTTTCTGGCCTACTATGAACAAGCAAGCAGCTCATCTTGCTAAATTAGAAGGATAGTAAATGCCCTGTGTTATTTAATCAAGTGCCTGGTTATTTGGCACAAAGTGTGGCCTTTTGCAAACCTCCTCATTCCTCTATAAACCAGGGGTCTTCCTCCTGTATGTATCAAAACAAAAGCCTGACTTTTGTACCGAGGTTGCAATTCTAGTTTTCTTCGATAGCTGGGCAGGTGTTCCAACAAATAGGCCACATTAAGGAATTCCTTTTGCTCCAATTATATATGGTAGCCATACACTACCTGCTTCCTCTCTTTTTTAACAGAAATGGCCATGACAAAGCATATTGGAGGTTTGTCTAGAAGTTGCCTAACGCCAGGGCTGATTTTGCAATAGGAAAAAAAAACAAAAAAAACAGCAGGGGAATCTTTCCTTACGCTGTCTTCTTTCAGAATGGACCTGAAGGAACATGCAGGGAGGAAGTTAAAAGTGCCCATCAAATTCAGCATTTCTTTTCAGTCGCTACCAGCAACAATTCATGGCCAAAGAATGTTTTTGTTCCTACCAGAACACAGTGTCTTTTTCTGGAAGGGTTTCTTTCAGTTGGATTTTCTTCGACGGAGAAATGGTTAAATTATTAACGCCAGCGGTTTCTGATATTTTACCAGGCCTGAGCAGTTTGGTGTGGTACTTGCTGTTTAGGTGCTTCTACTTGCGTGTCGGCCTTATTAAAGGCACAAATCTGGTAAACATTTGCTTCCGATTAAAGATATCTCCTTTCAGCCAACGGCTCTTTACGGCGTTTAAAACAAAATCTATATTTGGCAGGCTTAAGTCATATTTTGTCCGTAATGTTATTTCAAGAGGAAGAAACGTTCTCCAAACTGAGCCCCCTGTCTTGATGCATTTTTTACTCTATTCTATTTTAAATTGTACCTCATGTCCCCATTTATGGGAGATTGCTTAATAAAATTTGGACCAATATCGTCAATTTAACCATAATAACTTGGTAACAACTAGTAGCTTACACGGCTTATGAGGGGGGGGGAAAGGGGGGGGACAATAGATGAAATTCCCATGAAACCTGAAATAGCTCCTTTCTATAATAATTAGGAAGGTTGGTTGCTTTGCTTATAGGTTTTAGAAAAATTCAGTTTGCTGCTGTGAGACATACTGGAATAAAGTCATTGGGTTGTTGAATACTGTTTAGTCTTCAAGAACTTTGCTTCATCTAATGCTATAAGCTAATGGTTCCCAAAGTGGGCGGTACTGCCCCTGGGCTGGGATGCCTTAGGGGGGCGCCAAGAGGCAAGGGGGGGCCTTCAAGGCGCTGGCCCTGCAGGTTCACCCATTGACTAGCACCGCTCCGGAGCCGGCGCCTCCAATGCGGATGCGGTGGCACGTTATGTGCCACCACGGCCGCGTTCGACACTCCGCTGCCCCTGCTGCATCTTAGCGCCCCTCTGCTGGCCCCCTTGGGGACGCTAAGAGGCGGCAGGGGGGTGTTCGAGGTGCCGGCCCTGCAGGTTCACCCACTGACTGTAGTAACGCTCCAGAGCCGGCGCCTCCAATGCGGAAGCAGTGGCACGTTATGTGCCACCACGGCCGTGTTCTATGTGCCACCCCCTAAGGGGGCCGGCAGAGGGGCGCTAAGAGGCAGCAGGGAGGCATTCGAGGTGCCAGCTGGCCCTGCAGGTTCACCCATTGAGGTGCCGGCTCCGGAATTGATGTTTCCCGACGTGCCTGCAGGGGCGGCGCCTCGAACACAGCGGCAGTGGCACGGCTTTGCTCTACTTTTCCAATGCTGCCCTGCTACCTGGCCTGGGCTTCCTCAACCCTGCCCTGTACTGGCTCCAGGAAGCAGGGAACAGCACCGCCCTCTACGACGTGAGTGCCCCGGTAGGGGGGGCGCTTGGGAAGCTGATCCCTGGAGGGAGGGGCAGCCTGTGAACTTGCTGTCAGGCACGGCAACTACAAAGAGGAGCAGCCTTGGTTGAACGGGATCCTGGATGTGGTCAAAGCCTTCCTACCTATCTACCAATCTGTCCATCCATCCATCCAAAAGGTCTGTCTTTCTGTCTACCTACCTACCTATCCATCCATGCATCAATCCATCTATCTTCCTACCTACCTACCAATATATCTACCAATCTATCTATCTATCTATCTATCTATCTATCTATCTATCTATCTATCTATCTATCTATCTATCTATCTATCTATCTATCTCTACCTGTCTGTCATCTATCTATCCATACATCCATCCAAAAGGTCTGTCTGTCTTCCTACCTGCTTGCCTGCCTGCCTGCCTGCCTGCCTGCCTACCTACCTACCTACCTACCTATCTGTCTCTCTGTCTCTATCCTTCCATCCATCCATGTTCGAGGCGCCAGCTCCACAGGCACATCAGGAAAGTAGAGCAAATCCAGGGAGGGAGGGAGGGAGGGAGGGAGGGAGGGAGAGAGAGAGAGAGAGAGAGAGAGAGAGAGAGAGAGAGAGAGAGAGAGAGAGAGAGTGAGAAAGTGTGTGTGTCTGAGAGAGAGAGAGAGAGACCTGATGCATCAGATTGAGATGAGGCCTAGTTTAGACTGAGGCCCTTTTCCACATTGAAACCTCTTTGGCTTCTATTAAAGGTTTTGTGGACGAAACATGGTCAAGACTATCAGGAAGCTCTCACATTTTGTTGAGGCTTTAAACAGGATCCATTGGACCAGACCTCCACCCTAAAATATTACTTTTCCCCCAATGAATTATAGTGCCAATTCTGAAGAAGGCAAAACCAAAATGTACTGGTAAATTACGAGAACACACACACACACACACACTCCCTTCTAACCCTACTGGAGCAGGTGATTGGACTAGAATAGATATCTCATTATCTTTCTCCTCCCTCCCTCCCTCCCTCCCTCCTTTATTTCTTTTTCTTTCTGTCCCTTCCTTCCATCCCCCCCTATTTCTTTGACCCTTTTTCTTTCTTTCCCTTTTCTCTTTCTTTTCTTCCTTCTCTCTTTCTCTCTCTCTCTCTTTCTATCTCTCTCTTTCCCTCTCTCAGGATCACCCCATTGACTTGGTCCACTGCTCCACTTGGACTTGCTTGCGCAGGTCTGTCTGGTGCAGCGGGCTCAATGGGGTGGACCTGCGGGGCTGGCACCTAGAACGTGGCAGTGCCGGCACATTTGAAAAGTAGAGCAAAGCCAGAGATCAGTAATTTTTGCTGCAAAGAATAACAAAAGCTTCTGGGCTGTGCACAAGAAGGGACACACATGTCAATGCAATTCAGCAACATAAAATAAAGAAATACAAATAAAACAAATCAACAAGAATCAGCAAAGCATCTCTGATTAGATTCTATTCACTACTAGAATCTAATCAGAGATGCTTTGCCAATTCTAGTCCAATGACCTGCTCCAGCAGGGTTGGAAGGGAGTGTGTGTGTATGTGTGTGCATGGCTGTCAAAACTCCAAAAACAGGTCAAGTAGTTCTGGGGAGGCCAGTCATAAATTAGAACACTTGCTAAACAACCGGCCGTTAAGTGAGGACCACTTGTATTTGGTTTGCCAGTCACGAAACCACGTCCACCCAGTCACATGCCCACCAAACCACACCTATGACTGGATGAGCATGGCTTGCTGTCATGTGACCACAAAGCCACACCCAGCCAGTCACGTGACCAGCAAGCCATGCTCATCCAGTCACGTGACCAGCAAGCCACACCCTCAAATTAGGCCACGCCCACAGAAATTGAATCCCACCCCTGGATGGGGGGTACCGAGGATGAGTTTGTAGCGTCAAGGGGGGCGGTGGACTGAAAAAGTTTGGGAACCGCTGCTATAGGCAGTAAGTTGTGATCCTTCAAAAATGTATATTTTACTGTACATTTTGAGAGAGAATTTAGTTTAGTTTTATCCTTAGCTATATGTTATATAGTTGATTTTAGCAAGATTTGATCTCAGCTGAATGTTCCTCTGTAAGCAATGCTGGTTAGCTTGAGCAAGAAGTTGGATTTTTGAGCCCTAAATGAAAAGATGGAAAAACAGATCAGAATGATATGGGGGGAAAAAAGTTTTAAAGAATCTTTTGTACTGTAGGAGGGAAGCCAGAAGTACCAACTAAGCTGATAACACTCAATTTTTTTCTTATCCGTGGCCATTTTTCAGAAACCTAGTTCACAAGTGCAAAAGCTCAAGTGCCAAAATTTAGCTCTGGGTACGGCAGATGGTATGAAGCCAGTAGCCAAAAGAATGACATACCTTGTAAGATGCAGAGGAAATATATTTCCCACAAGAATGTTTTTATTATAACTGGTCAGTGAAGAGTTAAAAGCATTGGAGGATAACGTTGACTTAATACAGGAATATCAAGGAAGCAATCATTTTTCTCTAGTCAAAAAGTACACGGTAAGTATCAGCTTTTCACAGTTAAGTTCAATGTAACAGTAGTGGGTCAAGGATAACCAACTCAGAGTAGCTGTCAAATTTGTACCCACAAAATAAAATTCATCCCTCGATGAATGGCTTCCCGTTGCAATAATCGGCATCAATAGCTTGGCTTTCGGGAAAAGCCTCCGCGAGATTTTCAAGGCACAAAAAGCACAGGGCCGGCTACTGTTCTTTGCTTATAACCAACAGGGCTTCATAATTTGAAAAACAAATGGTATGGATACAAAATAAATATATTCCTTTAAAAACGCATACAAAAGTCAGTTAAGTTGGTCAGAAGAAGCACAGACTTTCGGAGCGCAGGTGAAAACACGGCTTTGGGCACAAAGAATGTTTTGGTTGCATCAGCAGGAAAAGGAGATGCTCACTGCGGCAGGGCGACAATGACTTCAACATAGCTGATGGGGAAGAATCCGGATTCCCCATTTAACATGCCTTCATACCAGTTCTCGTCAATCTGATTGGTCAACATGATGATGTCGCCTTCCTTAAAGCCAAGCTCCCCTTCATTTTCAGGCTCAAAGTCATACAAGGCTTGGCAGCAAGGTTGGTCCATGTGCAACGAAGAACCTGGCCAGAATGAGCAATGGAGACATTCAGGTTGCTTTCCGACAAAATTGTGTCTCAAAGTCAATTTGCAACAAAGTGCAAGATTATAAATAGTAGACTGCACACTGAAAGATTATAAAGTAGACTGCACATGCAACGAAGTGCAAGATTATAAAGAGTAGACTGCACAAAGTTAATGCAGGTAGTCCTTGACTTAACAACAAAACACTTACCAACTCTTTGAAGTTAACAACAGACTCAAAATTACAACCCATTCTTGAAGTTACAACTGCTGCACCCCCTTCAATTGCACTTGGCAATTGCCTTGCATTTAAAATGGATTGCAGCATCCAGTAGCCACATGGTTATGTTTTGAGATTATTTTTTTTGCCATTTTCTGGCAAAAAATACTCATTGGATAAGCTGGATTTGGATTTGTATCAATGTGATTTGCTTTATGACCATAGTGGCTCACTTAATCATCATTGTAAAAATGGTTGTAAAATCTAGTTTGGTCATATGGTGACTTGACATGGTCAAAATTCTGGCTCAAATGTAGTTGAAAGTCCAGGATTACCTATAGTTAAGCACTAGTGCCTACTACATCTTTGAATGATTTGCTTTCTTTCTGACCAACCTTTCTCTTGCACATATTTACACTTCTCTAGATATTTGCCCTGGCTTAATTATTTCATCACCCCTTCCCAAAAAATGGGGCTCCCTTTGAAGATAATTGCTTGCTGAATTTATGCTTGAAGGATGAGAAATGAAAGGTCTTCAAGGAAAATCAATGTCCAGTGGCCTTATTGAAACTTTGGGACAACCATGACCCAGAAGATCAAGAATCTCCTAGATCCCATGGTTACATACCTGATGATTTAATTGATGGACTGAAGGAAATTCCATTGTGTGGTTGACCATTGCTTATTTCCAGATGCGTCCGTGTGATTGGCTTGGGCTTAAATTCACGTTTAGGGCGACTTGAAGCTACATTTATCCTGAAAGCAGGATGGAGATGGAGAGATCAAGCTTTTCAAACAGTCAGAAATGCCTGCTGTAAGTGTTTGAAAATTATCCCACATGGGAATTATTCTGCTTCCATCACTGCCACCCGAAAAGTCCTTGTAAACCCATGAGTTCATTCATATATATATATATATATATATAATCTACCATGAATCAATGTGATGTAGGAGAACAGCGCGCGCACACACACACACACGCGCGCACACACATATCGCATTGATTCATGGTTTGTTTAACCGCAGTCCATGGAATAAACAATAATTGACTTAACTACACAATAAGCTTAACCCAAATACCCATGTTTTTATTTAGTAGGAAGTGCAAAGCCATCCACTAATAGTAATTTTGAGCTTTACAGCTCATTGCTGATGTGACTAGGTCCGCTGAGAATGAAGAGGAGAAACTGTCTTGTCTTCTGAGATACATATACAAATGTATACGTATCCTATACAAATACGTATGTATACGATACTAAACCTGTTTCCTCCCTTACAACCCTTCAAGAAAGTAGTTAAAGATATAAACACGAGTGGAAGATCACTCCATAACCTCTGAAAAGCCACAGAAGCTAAATTCACACATGGGCTGAAGATGCAATATGGTTGGTTTAATTCTCACCTAGCGTATTTTCCTAAGCCCTGGCCTGTGGTTTCAGGGCTTAGTGTATTGGACAAACTCAGGCAATTGTGGTTTATTCAGCCAAGGAAAGGTTAGCATAGCATGGGAATCTTGTCATAATGTTGATCTGAAGAAGGACAGTGGGATGGAGGGATGAGTGGACTAACTTGAGACCTTCGAAATTATTGAAAGAATCCGACTGCTTATTGAATGCAGCGGATACAAGTTGATATCACAAAGATCATCAGGATGCCAGCTTGGGCTAACCTGCAATAATGAGACACTTGTTGTGTTATCAACAGCTCACATACTAGGATCAGATGATGTGGCATGATTATATGACTGTTGTTTACATTATGACATGATACACATGTTTTGGCGTGGTCTCGTGGCTTAGTAGACCTTACTAAATGAGGATGGCCAGTTTTCTGGAATATGAATGAATAACATCTTAAAGATTACTATTCTTCCTAACTTCCAAGGGCCAGAAGTGATCACCATGGCAGGGTTCTATAGTCAACAGTGATATATATGCCAGTTGTGGTTAACTTAAGAGCCGCGGTGGTGCAGTGGTTAGAGTGCAGCACTGCAGGCCACTTCTGTTGCCTGCCGGCTGCCTGCAATTTGGCAGATCAAATCTCACCAGGCTCAAAGTTCACTCAGCCTTCCGTCCTTCCAAGGTCGGTAAAATGAGGACTCAGATTGTTGGGGGCAAGAGGCTGACTCTATAAACCGCTTAGAGAGGGCTGGAAAGCACTGTGAAGTGGTATATAAGTCTAAGTGCTATGGCTATTAACAAAACTGGTTTAGTATCCTGGAGGACCAGCCCTATGGTAGCACTTCTTCACACTTCTACAGAGCTTCCTCAGTTTGAAATGTAACCAATCCATGACGATGCTTACCGATTTTGTAGCTTGCTCTGCAGATCCTCCAAAATTTCTGCAGACTGTTTATGGTAATCCAGCGCAGCTTCTACTAAGACTAGCAGCTGGCTCACTTGCTCTATCTAGAAAAGGGGAATCCAAACAGAAAGTTTTTGTGAAGGATTTTTCCAAGCAAGCTGGAGGAAACATGGACTCCAAAGGAACAGTAAGTTCTCATTCAGTGGGGCTTATATCGATGGATATAACAAGGAAGAAGGACAGTTTGGAAGAGTATCTATCTGAGAAAATGAATTAGACAAAATGCTTCCCTTTTTCTCGGAGTACCATTTTCCACCAGTGCTCCTTTTCTGCCAGCCATACATCTGTTGCCATAGTTCAGCGCTTTCTATAATTTCCTTACTATTTCTGCGTATTATTTATTTAGTGCATGATGAGACCATGACAGAAGAGAAATAAACATCTGTGTACGTGTATACACACACACACACACCACACACTCTATGTAGTTATAGGTGAAACTTCTATGGGGATATTGCAATGGCCTCATAACTGGATGTCCAATTCAGCGATCCAGGCAAAAGCCTCTGGTGTTGCTTCGTGAAGATCTTCCAGGGCACGGAGATCCCCAAACCCTGGTTTGCAGACCAGGACTGGTCACAGGGTTCCAGAAACCAGGTCATGCAAACAAGCGAAGCCCAGGGGTGGGCTGCTGGGGCTTTGCAGGGGTTTGGGAAAGCCAAGATTCTGTGCAGTTCAGAGAACCCCCAAATCCCACCCTTGGCTGGCCCCACCCACTCCGCTCTTCCCAGGAGTCCCCACGTGGCCCGTTTTGGATGCAGGGAAGTGCAGGGGGCGTGCGGAGGCTCAGGGAGGGTGAAAAACGGGCCTCCCGGAAGTTTGGGAAGGCCGGAAATGGGCTCATTTCCAGCTTCCAGAGAGCCTCCGGAGCCTGGGGAGGCAAAAACACCCCACCGTGGTGCAGGAGGCCAACTAATGACATTGCAAAAAAGATTGTGAAATGAAATGTGGACACACAACTCAATAACTTACAACTATAATTCTGAGCTCAAGTATAGTTATAAATAAATAATTACCTTTACGAACGAGTTTCAAATTTTTAAAGTCAGAATTATCACTAGAGGGCAGCACATCATAAAGAAATAATAAGTAAGCAGAATTGGACACAATTTGACCTCTTCCAAAGTGACAGTATGCAGAATAAGTGGGCAGCTGATTGTCCAAGCCCCCCAATAATTTTTCAAGAGCAGGATGACTTCTGGGTGGTAACACATGAAAGTGGTTGGTAGGAAGAATTCCATCCTGTCTTTCAGGGCTTAGTGTATTGGACAAACTCAGGCAATTGTGGTTTATTCAGCCAAGGAAAGGTTAGCATAGCATGGGAATCTTTCAGTAGCAATTAACGAAAATGGGGGACGAAGAGGAAGAAGTTGACAGTTGGGAGGGAACCTGTGATCTGATAAGCAGGTCACTCACATAGACCTGTCTCCAAAGGGCTTTCTCCAAAAGGCAACTGGACTTCCTTGATTTTTTTTCCCTTTGAAAACATTTCACTTCTCATCCAAGAAGCTTCTTGATGTTCTTCTGAACAGAACTGAAGAAGCTTCTTGGATGAGAAGCGAAACGTTTTCAAAGAAAAATAATAATCAAGGAAGTCCAGTTGCCTTTTGGAAAAAAAAAACACCTTTGGAACAAACATGACCTACAGCATACATGTGTGGAAAACCTACAATGCAGGTAGTCCTTGACTTATGTCAATGCTTAGGATCAGAATTTCTGTTGCTAAGCAAAGCGGTTGTTAAAGTGAGCCACATCCTATTTTATGACCTTGTCACAGATGGCAAATGAATCAATTGGTTGTTAAGAGAATCTAATTTCCCCTATGGGCTTTGCTTGTATTTGCCAGTTGCTGACCACCTAATGAGTGTGTAGAATCTATCATTCCAGGAAAAATACATTTTGCACACTGCTAATGCAAAAGAGATGATAAGGGGACCGAGGTAAGAATTTCTTGCAATCTGGAAGATGGGAGACGGAACTTAAAACTATTTTAAAGATGATCCTAGGTGTGTTTTCCATTTCCTACCTCTTAAAATAGCAAGAAAATGCATCACCAAACTAGAGGGGAGACAGATAACAGGTCTTGAGAGGTGGAAACTGCCAGCTACTCCACTTAAAAACCTCTTCTCAACCGCTTCCAGGAAGAGCATCCCAAATTGCAGGAAGAGGGAATTATACAGCCATTCATAGGTTTCATCGCCTGCCTTGTTTGGGAAAGAGTAGGCTGTGTTCAGAGTTCAGGCAACCTGTTCATCTTCCCAATTGCTAGTTACACCACATCGTATGGGCCACAAACACCCACGTGGAGACTGTAAGTCTCGCGCTCAAGTTGCAAAAGGGAAAAAAAGCTTACATCATTTTCCAAAAAGTGGAACATGCTCCGTTCTGCCAGTTCTTTGGACTCTTCAAACTTCTCAATGGCTTGCTTCACTTCCTCGTCTGGAATCTTCCCTAGACGCTTCCGTTTGTAATCATAATCTAGACGCCGGCCTTCTAATTTTTTTAGATGGTGCTATTTTATAACAAAGGGAAAGAAGAGATTCATATGGTTAGAGCGAACAAGAAGAAGTCCTTTTGTACAGGGGCAGAAATATGTTTTTAGTCATGGGGAGTGGCTAAAAAAACTATAATAAAATAACAGCATCAATGAATGCTTCAGCAATAAATTGTTAAATTTTAGTTACTTCATTCATTGTGAAAAGTTTCCAGGCCATCTACATAAGCAGTAACATATATCTGTCAAAATACGGTTTACTTTTATGTTCTGGATCTCATTAAATTTCTGTCATGTTCTCTCTCTTGATTGTAGAGCGCCCATTCATAGTTAAGACTCCACTAACATTTATGCGGTGTGTTTATCCATGTTTAACTGAATCATGGTTTACTGGTGTAGGTTTTTGCACCTGGTATCTGTTGGACAGTGCTGGGCTTCAGAATTTAGTGACCATGATCTAGACAACAGACTTCCTGATATTTGACCAGCAATCGTGGTTGGCATCTTCTGAGTCAAGGAGGTTTGTTACGCCCAGCAGTGCCCAATGAATCATAGTTTAATTCATCAAAGTTGCCAGGTTCACATCCCACGCCAGGCAAAAATACGTAATTTCTTCTGAAGTGAGGAAAAAACAAATCACATATTTTTTGCAAGGGATCTGAGGAAGATAGAAAACTTCCAGTGACTAAATTCTCCTTAAGCTTCAAGGAAGGAAGATATACTCCAGTTGCTCCAGAAAAATAGGGATCTAATAACTAGGTCCAGATAACCACAGAATAACCTGAATGATGCTGGAAAGTCTGTGATTCAATGTGTTGCTGGATCTCCGTCACTCAAACAGGAGAGCCAGTTTAGACTAGCAGCAGTTAAGGCACCAGACTAGAAAGTGGGAGGTGGTGAGTTCAAGTCCCACCTCAGCTGTGAAAGCCAGCTGGGTGATTTTGGTTCAGTCATTGTCTCACAACCCAACCCACCTCACAAGGTGGTTTTTGTTGTGAGGAAAATAAGAGGAGAAAGATATGTTGAATATGTTCGCCGCCTTTGGCTACACGTAAAAATAATAAAGGAAGGATACAAATAAATATATCATAAAAAATTATCTCGGCATGGCCACATTAAGCCAGAGGAAATATCCTTTGTTTGGGAAGCACACCTCATCTGAAGATGGTAGTTATATTTTGTTAATCTAAGTTTAAGATATTACGCAAATCCAGGCATTAGGGAGTGAAAAAGAGACCACGAGAGAGATTTGAGAAACGCTAATATTATTCCAAGGATGCACCTCACGTCCCTAGGCAAATATTCGAGGCAGAGATAAAACTCACTCCAATCTCTTTTAAATCCTTCTCCTGCAGTAGCTGTAGAGGGTCAATAAAGTTCTGCTTGATGGTGATATCCAGGGAGTCTTTCACTTCTGCCATCTGCTTCATACTTTCTCCCATATCGATCAGCGCAGCGCCTTGTAAAGAAGAAACAACACTCGTGTATCTTCTGGGGAAGAATTGTAGGGTTGTTTTTTTTCAAGAAAAGATTCAGCAGCTTCCTAACTGAAATTTAAAAGGCTTATTTTCAGCTGCTCTTCTTTGAAATGTGTAAAGCTTCTACCCTTCCTATGTCCCAGATCATTTCTTTGGTCAGATACTTTAGAAGAGTCAATTCACAACTAAAAAGAACTTCCTGCTGGAGAGAGAGGGAGGGAGGGAGGGAGGAAAGGAGAGAGAGAGGAGAGAGAGAGAGAGAGAGAGGAGAGGAGAGAGAGAGGAGAGAGAAGAGAGAGAAAGAAGAGAGGAGAGGAGAGAGAGAGGAGGGGGAGAGAGAGAAGAGAGGAGAAAGGAGAGAATTCTTAGCATTCCCTGCACAATTTGGGGCTCTTATAGGAGTGCCAGATTACATCTCCCATCATCCCCATTCAGCACAGCCACGACACAACTCAAGTAATACACCTGAGCATCATTTACAGTCCTTGAACATGGTACATCCGTTTTAAGGACCAGCAGGCAAACCCAGAGGCCGTATCTCGTCATGTTCAGGCCTCCTCACTCTTTGCATCTTGTATCTCTGTAATGCTCAGGCAGGGACCCTTTAAAAACCCAGGTGCATTAAGTGCCGCTTGCAAGAACTACACAAACAATGCTGCGTGGCTGCAGAAGCTCACCAAAGGTGGAGTCCTCTCTCAGTTCCTTCCCATACCGGAGCATACAGTCCCCAAGCAATCCTTCGGTCTGTGGGTATCCTGTGGCCTTCACTTGCCCCCGGATCTTGGAGACAGTGTTCAGCATTCCTAGCTTAGCTCTGTAGGCTTTAAAATAGAGAGATTAATACTGGAAAGCTTAAAAGATATGCTGGGATTTCTATATTGCCTGGAGAACATTTCTGCCCATTGACTTCATGTCTCCAGACCTGGAATGTTATTTTACTATGCAAGCACCATAGAAGCAAGTTGTCACCAGCTTCAGCCGAGGACCTGCATACTGCACAAGTCAAAAAGAGGGCTGTGAAAATATTTACAGACACCTCACATCCCGGATATAAACTGTTTCAACTCGTACCCTCAAAACGATGCTATAGAGGACTGCACACCAGAACAACTAGACACAAGGACAGTTTTTCTCCCAAACGCCATCACTCTGCTAAACAAATAATTCCCTCAACATTGTCCAACTATTTACAATGTCTGCATTACTATTACTATTAACCTTCTCATCACTCCTTATCGCCCATCCCCTCCTACTTGTGACTGTATGACTGTAACTTTGTCGCTTGTATCATTACGATTTTTATTGACTGTTTCCTAGTATGATTTGATCGCTTATTGTACCCTAAGACTATTATTAAGTGTTGTACCTGATGATTCTTGACTCTTGACGAATGTATCTTTTCTTTATGTACACTGAGAGTATTTGCACCAAACAAATTCCTTCTGTGTCCAATCACACTTGGCCAATAAAGTATTCTATTCTGTTCTATTCTATTCTATTCTGTTCTGTTCTGTTCTGTTCTGTTCTGTTCTGTTCTATTCTATTCTATTCTATTCTATTCTATTCATTCAGACCCAGGGTGGCTAACAAACAGGGGTTAATGGCATCCACAGTCCTCGACTTACGACCACAATGGAAGCCCAACACTTCTCTTAAGTGAGAGATTCGTTAAGTGAGCTTTGCTCTATTTTACGACCTCCGTTCTTAAGCGAATCACTGTAGTTGATCAGTTAGTAAACTGGTTGTTAAATGAATCTGGTTCCCCCTCCCCATTGATTTTGCTCGTCAGATGACTTTTGCAAAAGGGGATCCCGTGACCCCGGGACTCTGCAACGGTCATAAACACGAATCCGTTGCTGAGCTTCTGAATTTTGACTACATGACCACTGGGATGCTGCAAAAGTTGTAACTGTGAAAAATGGTCGTCCTTTTTTTCAATGCCGTTGTAACTTTGAACGGTCTGCTGTAACTGCTATAAGTCAAGGACTACCTTTATGTCGTAAGTATATATGGTTAGTCCTCGAATTAAGACCACAATTAGGAGCAGAATCTCTGTTGCAAAGCCAGGCAACTGTTATATGAGTCACACCCCATTTTATGACTTGTTGGCCATGGTTCTTAAGCAAATCACTGCAGGTGTGCTGGTTAGACAGTATATAGAATGTGCTGGTTAAACAGTATATAGTTTGGGAATGAAAGCTGTCCCCTTAAGAGAATGTTTCATGGGAAATGTAGTTCATGTCATGTGGTCACATCTATAATCCTGATTGGTCACTGAATTGACCTCTGGTTGGGTTGTGGGGAGCTTTGGTCTTTCTTACCTGGACCCCAGCAATGTGCTGGAGTCTTCCCTTGCTGTACCTTATGGGATGAAGATAACTGTATTTTCACACTATGAAGAGACATGATAACTAAACATTACAAAGGCTTCCTATAATTCACAGTTATGCTGATATTCACGTAACGTCCAATCTTTGCATTGTCGTCTTCATAATGTGAAAAGATCTTCATCCCATAACAATACAGCAAGGGAAGATTCCAGCACGTTGTTGGGGTCCAGGTAAGAAAGACCAAAGCTTCCCCCAACCCAATCAGAGGTCAATTCAGTGACCAATCAGGAGTACAGATATGACCACATGACCTGAACTACATCTCCCATGAGGCATTAACTACATTTCCCATGAAGCATTCCCTTAAGGGGACAGCTCTCATTCCCAAACTAACTATATACTGTTTAACCAGCACACTCTATATACTGTCTGACCAGCACAACAGCGATTAAGTGAATCACACCATTATTAAGTGAATGTGACTCCTGCCAGTGATTTTGCTTGTGGGAACCTGACTGGGAAGACTGCAGCAGGCGATCACATGACTTGGCATACCACAACCATCACAAATATGTGCCACTTGCCAAGTGCCTGTATTTTGACCATGTGACCATAGGGGACTGGAGACTAAAACATATGAAGAACGGTTGCAGGAACTGGGCCTGGCTAGTCTAGTGAAGAGAAGGACCAGGGGAGACAGGATAGCAGTCTTCCAATTTTTGAGGGGATGCCACAGACAGGAAGGGGTCAAGATATTCTCCAAGGCACCTGAAGGCCAGACAAGGAACAATGGATGGAAACTGAACAAGTAGAGATTTAATCTGGGAATAAGGAGAAACTTTCTGTCATTGAGAACAATCAACCAATGGAACAGAAGTTGCCCTCAGAAGTTGTGGGAGCTTCATCACTGGAAGCTTTCAAGAAGAGATTGGACTCCCATCTGTCAGAAATGGTGTAGGGTCCCCTGCTTGGGCAGAGGGTTGTATTAGATGACCTACAAAGTCCCTCCCAACTCTGATTATCTGTTATCTGCTACAATATCTGTTATCTGCTACAACAGTCATAAGTGCAAGGATCAGTTGTCAGTCACTTTTTTTCAGTGTTGTTGTAACTTTGAGGGCCACTAAATGAATGATTGTAAATTAAGGACCACCTATAAACAGTAAGTAAAAAATATAGACAATAAAATGGTTACAATGCAAAAACATCCATAGAAAACAAAACGAAACTGAGAGGCACAGATCTGATGGATTGGTTTGCAGAGATGCTCTGTTGTTTGAAACATCTGGAACTCACTGGAACTATCTTGCTCTTACCTGGGTTAGGTTGGAGATATTCTGTAGCTTTGGTTAAGAGCTCTGCCACTGCCTTGCTAGTGACATCAATTTTCTATAAGAGGAAAATAAAATATCTTTAGGTGGGCTGTGCAAATCATGTTCAATTTGAGCCACCTTTTACTCAACACCTCCAATTTTGAATTCCTAAATTGGAAACGGGCAGTTTTGGTCATTTTAGAAGTGTTTTGAACTTGAAACTTTTCTAAGGTTAAGGGTGCTCTCTGAGCTTCCTTGTTTTCCTGCAGATGTTTCATTACCCAAATTAGATTACAACATCATAGTCCTAGCATTGATGATGTTACCTAGTTTGGGTAATGAAACATCAGCAAGAAAATAAGCAAGTTCAGAGAGCACCAAAGACCCCTCATTTCAACCCTGAGCTACAAATATTCTCCTTTATTGATTTCTAAAGTTGTTGAAACAATCCCTGTTGGACACTGGTCGGGATGCTGGATTCAAAAGAATTCAATTTTGAACCATCGCTAATCTTTAACAATATATGACGGGGACTATTCCTTTCGTACATTACACACAAATTTGTGCCAACCTTGTCTCCTGTAGACCTTTTCCTAACTATGGTCTATTTTAGAAAAAGGAATGAAAAGGCCTCTCAAGTGATGATTAGAAATAACTACCTTGCAATTAGCAGTATCACAGGTTTGCCTTACCTTCTCCATCTCTTGAAAGTCTTCATCGAGTTTTGTCCCTTCTGCTCCACTGATCTTCTCGCTGAAAAGCTGCAGGAGGAAAAGAATAATGATAAACAATATCAATAAAGTCGATGGAGATTCTGTCAACCAGGTCATGGTTGTCCCAAAGGTGCTTTATTTATTTTTTCAAGAGGCAACTGGATTTTCTGTTTTTTTCTTTGAAGATGTTTTGCTTCTCATCCAAGAAGCTTCTTTAGCTCTGACTTCCATTCCTTACCAACCAGTCAGAGCTGAAGAAGCTTCTTGGATGAGAAGCAAAA